CACGAGGAGAATTATTTAATGAAAAAAAGTTTTGCATATGATTCCCCTATCGTGAGCCTGCTCAAGTCATATGGTTCGATTTACATTTATGCAAATATCAGAGAATAGAGCAAAATTACCAAAGGGGGAAAGGACTGGGGCATGTCACAAACAAGATGTGCCTATTTGTATTTATGTTTGCTAATGAAATTCAGCCATGACTTGCTCTTTTATTTTTATGTCTGTCTGCCATTCCACTTCATGCAGTGTAATTAAGCCACTTGCCCACACACATACAAAAGGATAGCAAGAGAGGGAGACTTCAAGTTTCAAAAATGCTGTTTGTAACATGCTTATGAAGGACCTTTGACATGGTCCCCCACCATATCTCTGCACTGGAGAGGATTGCCAGTTACAGCCTGGAGAAGAGAAGGTTGCAAGCAGACCTCAGTTGGAGAGTGATTACAGATAGGAGGGAAATCAGCTTTTTCCATGGGTAGGTGTACAGGACACGGGGAATGGTTTTAAACTAAAGGAGGGAAGATTCAGATTAGATGCTGGGGAAGTTTTTCTCTGAGAGGGTGGTGAGGTGCTGGAACAGATTGACAAGAGAGGCTGTGGATGCCCCATCCTTGGAGGTGTTCAAGGCCAGGTTCGATGAGGCCCTAGGCAATCTAAGCTAGTACCTGGTCTAGCATTTAGCAACTCTGCTTGTGGCAGTGGGTTGGAACCTGCTGATCCTTGAGGTCGCTTCCAGCTCAAGCCATTCAATGATTCTGTGAGCTCTGATGCGAGTTTTATCATCTTCAAATGATACAGGAGATCAAATTCTCCAGTGATTTGAAATACTGTCTCACCTTTAATGTCGGTATAACTGCAGAATTAAACTAGTGGAAGATTTGACACAATAAACCTTAGTGTCTGGGGTGTCCACTGGAGATTTCCCTTGATTTTCCAAAATTTATCCCAAATAAGAATTTAACACATAACAGCCCACTGTTCAAACAGATTCACAGCTGTTTCTTTCTCTTGCCAAAATTATTCTTTCTTGTCATGCTGCAGCTGAGAAGTACTATAAATTGTTAAGTGGAAACCATTTCTAGTTAAGATATCTGTTCAGAAGTCTTTGTTTTCTAATCTGACATATTCCCAAACCTGGGAGTACTCAAACCTGGGAGTACTCAAATCTTGGGGCTTAGCTCATGTCTGTTCCTGTAAATCACACCTTCAGTGTACCTGTGTTAAAAAATGATATGATTTCTGCCACATAAGTTGGCCCTACAAGCTTTTCACTAAACTGCCTCATTTCGTGTGACCTACTTTGGGAACAGGAGTTTTGCTGCATGGAGCAGCTTTTTGTGGTCCATCATAAAATCTTACCCTGTGCTCCTGCAGCAGGAGAGACACGGGGCTGAAAAAGAGAGTAGAAAATTACATTGCTTTTCATGATTCTTAGGGATTTACTTCACTATTAACATTTTGTTCCAGATTGCCTCTTTATGCTATTAGTTTTGCCTTCTTCCACCAAACCAAGGACAAAGCACAATGCTGCTACTGGCTGACTGACAGAGATGAGCACTGCTCATCTTTTCTACTTCATCGCCCCTTCTTTCAGATTGTTAATAAATAAATGAATAAATAATGATCGCATTCCTTGAGAAGATTTCAAAAATATCAAAATCCAATATGCTTTGGGAAGTTAGAAGGCACAACATTTTCTGGGCGGATTTCCTGGTACAGTAGGCAAGTAGATGACGACTGATTCAATGCAGTGCAGAGATTTAACTGGCATGAATGATTGCCGTGTTATTTGCAAATGCAAAAAAAAAAAAGCCATGAGAAGGTTCTTCAGTAGCCTGAAATGAAGAAAATGCACCCATGTGGTGCAGAGGCCAGGAGGTGGAGCATGCAGCAGCAAAATCGTCATGCCTTTTCCCAACATGGGAACACGTGGCAAGAGTGGAAATGGGCAATGAAGGTCAGTTGCTGCTTTCTTTTTGGTTCACCATGCTGGGTTCTGGTTGTGGATAGCAGCAATCTGTCCTTTTAATAAAAGCAGGAAAAAGGGTGAAAAATATGATAGCAAGGAACCCAGTGAGTTTCTATGAGCTAGATTGACTTGGTAAGGTTACATCAACTTCCTGTAGCACGAGATTTGTTCTGGGAAGGTGGACTACACGATTTGTGCCAGCAAGGTGGTTTCCCACATCTAAAAGGTGGTCTCTTGCTCACCCACACACGTAGAGGGTGCGGTAAGAGGCTGTAGGACCTTCAGCCATGGCAGAGAGTCAGCCCACAGCAGGAAATATCAAAACACAGGCTGGGAGACAGTACGTTTGGAGAGAGAGCACACACAAAATTTGGATGCAATAAATGCCTTTCCAAACTGGGCTCCAGAAATTACAGTGGGCTTACATTATCTCCTAACATTGGGCCATAGCAAATATATGCCAGCAAAATGGGCACAGCTATGGCCTGCCGTTTTGATTCCACATCAGGGGTCTGCATCATCCTCTAGCTGTAATTCGGAGACAAAGAGTCTTTCTTTTCTCTAAAGCTGGCTACTTCCAAAGTGGCATAAAGCACCCAAAAGCCTCATCCAAACCGCAGCCACAGCGGATGACTGTCACATCCCTGCACATCTCTCTTGCAAAGGCACGTGCACACAAGGCTTATAGGAAACATCATGCTGTTTCTCCTCACAGTTCTTGGCATGCAGAGATACGCCTTTTACTTTCATGAATTCAGCTGTATACATCTTTGTGATAAATGGTGTAGCTCAGGACTGGGGAACGCCTGTAAAATAGCTCCGCAATGCATAAATGTATTTTGGAAGTTAGGCTTTATTATCTAGCAGTGTATCAACATGAGAAAGAAGTGTTATCTTATTATGGAATGGGATGAAACAAACTTCCTCCTGTGAAATACTGATTTCCAAACCGGTTACCTTTAAGCTGAGGTTGAAGATAAAGATTGTTTCTGCGTAAAATGCTTCAATTTGTGGCTAGATTCCTTAATAAACTATGCATATATCAGAATGACTTTCTCTGGCTTGGGGTGGTTGAAGTGTGTTGTTTTCATTATTGCTGAGTTTCAAAATGGCTTCAGGAATTTCGTTGGCCCTTTCCAAAAAAACTCAACTTCGGGCAGAGATTAAAGCAAAGGAAATTTCAGCCCAAGGGCAAATGTTTCACCAAGTTTAAAGTATGTGAAACAGGGAGTTTAGGAGGAAATAGTTCTCAATCCTAACTATAGCCACGCTAGCTATAATATATGGCTAAATATAGACCAGTGGGTGTGCCCAGCTTTCTGAAGGTGTTATCCTTCCTCCTCTAAGGCTTGCTTCTAAAATGACCTTTCCAGGGATATAATGAACGCTGTAATATTGCCCGTGTTGGAAAATGTTAAGCTGTGTTATTTCCCAGGTGAGCCCAGCCAAGCCCGGCTTTGCTCCGCGACCAAAATTCCTTTCGTAAAATTCAACCTTTTATCTTTCATGTGAATCCAGCGTTGGGTTCATTGATCTCCAAGCAAACTGCACGATAGCCCCGGATATTTTGTTTATGTGTTAAAGGTTCTCACTTGGGTCACAAACCTCTGCAAAAGTACCGGGGTCAAAGAGCTAAAAGCATGGCTTTTGCTTTTGCATCAGCTTCAAAATGCCAGCCCTAATGTCCTGGGCAGGCTGCACATCCAAACTCCCTTGGACTTGCTGCTTGTGGTTGTGGGAATGTGTTGGCTGCTCTGTTTTTATGCATTTCATGTTTGGGTATAGAGTCTTTGGATTTATTTTCTTTGTTTGCTGTCATACTGTCATGGCTGATGAGTTGCTGGGTATCTCCCCACACTCATGTTGCACTCTATGGCTTTGAACCATATAAGTTTGGTGTGAATGTGAGGGATGCTGCACTGAACATCTTGTACGTGTATCTTTTTCCATACTCAATGTCTGCAAATGCACACTTGCAGTTTTTGAAACTATTTCCTTACAATTCAGAAGAAATACTAAGCTGCCATCCTTTGTCTTAATGATTCTCTTCTAGTTTAAGTGAGGAGTCTTTGATAATGCTGAAATTCATTAGGAAATTGCTAGTGAGTAACTGAAACCAGCAGCTCAGCGTGGCACTGCCTCAGTGCATGAATGCAAGAGCTGCAAAGTACGTATCTGATGTCTGTAATTTCATTTTCGGAACTGGATGACTGCTGAAGGTGAACCAAGTAAAGCAAAAGTATTTAAGCTTTCCTTTTTGAAAATGCCATTAATATCTAAAAACAAAATGCACTTCTAAAGCAAGAATATCCCCTTAAAATATAGAGTTTCCAGCGTGCCTGGGTTAAAAAGGCAGAGCTTCCTATATTGATTCAGAAGGAGACATTAAAAATGCATGAGAGGTATTTCAGTTGCCATATCTTGTACGTTTTCCCCTTTTTTTTTCTCAAATGCTGTTTAACTCTTGTGCTCCTTTATCAGTGGAAGTGCTCCACCCCAGGTTCATATGATTTTGTACTGACCAGAGTGTCTCTAAGATCCGTTTGGTTTGGTTGGCTAGGGATTACACCAGTGTCTGCTTACATAGCTTTAGGCTCACGCTACCAAGCAGGCTTGGAACCCGTAATGATCCCGTAATCTCTGGGCTATTAGGGCAGTTAGGTTAGAAGCAATTCTCCAGCGCAGTGAATGGAGAACACATGCTTCTAAAGGACAAACGGCTTTGGTATAATAGCGTATTTTTGGACTCATCTATTTTGCAGGCAGTTAACGAAATAGGATGTTACATTTTTGCATCTCTCTCCCTCTCCTGAAATAGAGTCACTAACCACTTGTTAACCACACTGATTTTTTAATCGTCGAAGTGGTTGCTCGCAGCTTCCCCACCAGAAATGTTCAGATTAAGCACACTATTAGATTGCAGCCAGAATAGTCTACAAAACAGGAAGAAAGCCTCGCCTCCCTCCCTGCCTTCTTCTCTTGTTTAAGTTGACATGATAATTCATTACAGATTTTTCTCTTTCTTTGACAGAGTGCCTACCGCAGAAATGGGATGACTTTTCTCGCCTGCTGATATGGATGTGGCTGCAGCAACAGAAAAGACAGTGTTATATTAAGGTGATTTTCTCTTCCCCTCCACGGAAGGAACAAAAAAACACAAGCTCCAATGTCTCCGCATGGCAGTGAGTGGGCTGGTTTGTTGTGACTATCTGCTGGCTGACTCCATCTCTCTTTCCAGCCCCCTCAATCGTTATTCTTGTTTACTAGCTGGAACATTTAGCTAATTAATGGCAGGATGTTTGGGATAGCGTGTAGGTGGATAAGAATGCAGATCGCACCAGTTTGATGTTTGCAGGGGACTTGCTGCTGTCAGCCCCTTTGTAAAACGCCATGTCATCTTTACTCAGTTGTTTGGAAGTCTGTGTGTTTTGGTAGCAGTGTTGTTTTGGGAGGCAGGACGGGGCAGAAAGAGGCCAAAGATATTCTGAGTTTTCCATGATTTTTACAAAAAGTCAAAAACCTGCACTGCTTTCCACTGCGTTTCCTCCAGTCATTCCTTCCAGCTCAATGCAGGAAGGGGCTTTTAGATAAGAGCAACAGCAGAGAAGAGCTTGGGCAACCTACACTTTATCACAAAGGCTTGTCACAGACCCAGCAGCAAAGCAGCCAGCCCCTAATTCTCAGTGCTGCCATTTCTCCCTGCTGCACTCCCATAGGAGCCCAACCCACCAGGGGAAGGCTCTGCAGCCATTTGGCACAAATCTGCCCCACTCCCTCAGCATTTCCCAAAGTATCCAAACAGCCATGGCCCCCTCAGCAATTCTAGATGCAGGCTGCATGCAGCATGCCACCCGAGGAGATGTTTTCCCCATCACCAACAAAAGCAACACTGCTGTTGGATTCAAAGAAGAAATACGCCCTTCATTGCCTTTCTGTATTTCAGCTCACTTTGTTTGTTTTCAGATCTACTTTTTAAATCTCAGCCCCTCACTCTACAATTCTTCCTGTCCCCCTCTCCACCAGCCCAGGCTGTCCTCACCGACGGATTCGTTTCTTCACATTAAATCCGTACAAATATAGAGCTAACCACAAGGAGCTGAACCAGAGAGAAGGGCTTATGCCTCAGCCCATCCCTGGGATCTGCTGCCTGTGTCCCTGGGGCAGCCCAGGGGTCTGCGTCAGCCGCCTGGAGCACAGGCTTCAAATCTGACTTAAACCTCAAATTAAGACGGAGCACTCAAGGGATCAAGGGGAGATCAGCAAAATATTACTTTTATGTAGTGCAGCCGTCCTCCTCCTTTGTGCTGAGTATGTGAGGTCTTAACTTTTACTCCCACCGCATGGTATTGTGGTCATTTGTAAGTGGTTTTCTTGCCCGGCTTTCCTGGACCTGCTTGCAAAAGCTTTAGAAGTATCTGTATATTAAACAAACAGAAAAATGCCTCTTCTCCTTGCAACCGAAATGCTGCCAACATGACCTTTGTACATCAGATATTACTGCCACTCGTCAGTTGTTTTGGGTTTTTTTTTTTTGTGCCTGCTTAACCTTCTGTATTCTGGAATTAATCTGTGTGCAAAGGAGTACAAGCATACACCACCGGCTATTAAACGGAGTTGGGAAGCTTTCTGATGTTCCATCTGTGCTTGTTGAAATATATGATTAAACTTTTCTTTTTATCATCATTCTTATTTTTGTTGGCATCCTTCATCGCGGAAAATTACATGCTTGCTGTAAACATCCCGGCTTTTCGAGAGGACACCAGCATTTATTGTATTTAGTTTCGATCTGCAGGCATATAGACAGAAGGGACTGTTTCAGGCACTGGGTAATGGAATCAAAATTCCTTCCGTAACTGTATCTCTCTCAGATTTTACATTTTAAAATATGCACAAGCAGGGAAAATCCTGGCACTTATTTTTTACCGGTCTGCCCAAAGTCCCAGAGAATGAAGACTCAACATACATTTCTCTAGGAAATATGACAGGTCGTGTTTTTGTTGGTCTGCCGTGTGTTTGTCTATCTTGAACAGCCTGACAGGCAATTATTTATAAAATCTGGGTTTGCCCAATAAGCCCATTTAATAACCTTTCTCTTCTCTACATAAGCCATGCTCTGAACGGAGAGTAGAACAAGGTATGTTATGTCTCCCTACCCTATACTTGCCAGGTTATTCTTACAGCAGTAAGGAATAGCTTTTGCTCGTCATCATAGAATCATAGAATCACAGAACGGCCTGGGTTGCAAAGGCCCACAGCTCTCTTCCAGTCCCAACCCCCTGCTGTGTGCAGGTCGCCAACCAGCAGCCCAGGCTGCCCAGAGCCACATCCAGGGTTGAAACTTGATGATCTTAAGGGTCCCTTCATAAACACTTTGCCTTATAACTAAAGAATATATAGTGATATTTGCCACAAGTCCAACTACCAATTGAAACTTAGACTGTTAGGCTTTGTTTGTTTGTTTGCTTTTGCCTAGAAGCGAATCACCTTGCCCAACGTTGGATTTTTTCAGACCTCTCCAATGTATCCACGGGTAGAGGCAGTACAAGTGGGGGACCGTGGTGGCACACATAAAGTCCAGGGCTTTGTTTGGAGGGCACGGAGCCAGCACAAAGCAACAGAGCCATCCCTGAAGGAATTGAATGTAAATGCGATGGTTTAAATAAGGCCAGATGCCTTACAAAGCTATTTTAAAAGCTGTATCTTCTCAAGTAGCTTTTTTTTTCCCCCCTCCTTAAGATAATGATGTTGCTTTTAAAAAACAGTAAGAGAAAACAGCTCTCATGTATTGTGGGGAGACAATAATCAGATACATTAACTTTCATAAATCACTGAAATGTTGGCAACTGAAACAAACTTTTAAAAGGCAGATGACTGCAAATTTGAAGGAAACCTTCATATTTTATTGTTAAAAGTCTTTTAACTGTCTAGAGAGCACTCCAAGACACAACATTAATAGCTATTCTCAGTAATCGAGCTCTGCTATACTTACATACCTTTTTTCCTAAGCAAGATAGATTAGTAGCAGAAGAGAACTGGAATGAAAAATAGGGGAAATCAAGAACTAAAATTATAATGATACAGTTTCATTTTCTGCATTATAACTCTCTTCTGTATTTGTGATTGATAATTCCTCCTAATTCCAGTCAGACAGAAATGTTGGCACAAGGGCCCTACAAACATCCCGGTATTTCTGGTGTAGTCCTCCTCCAGATGCTTTGCAGACTTTGTGAAGATGTGGGCTGTCAGTCTTTGGTCCTGATTGATAGAACTTTGATTGCTGTGATGTCTCAGTGCCCCACTGTCTTCCGTGTATTCATTGCCACTTTTTGAAATGACAGTGGTGTTATCTTTGTTTCTTCTGAGACACGGCAGGACTAAAGGACTGCCCTCTGCTTGGGATCCTGGGATGGTTTGGAAAACCTGGATTTGCAGTCTCAAGCTCTCAGCTCGTCCCCTTCCAGTGAGAATGATACATGTGGCAGAAAGCACACAGCCCAGTCAGGTAGGTTAGGACAGAAAGTGGCCAACGCTGTATCTACCTAGATCTCTGGTTTTAAAGTGAGACAGGGGAGGTTTGGGTTGGATATGAGGAGGAAGTTTTTCCCCCCGAGGGTGGTGAGGCACTGGCACAGGTTGCCCAAGGAGGCTGTGGATGCCCCATCCCTGCAGGCATTCAAGGCCAGGCTGGATGTGGCTCTGGGCAGCCTGGGCTGCTGGTTGGCGACCTGCACACAGCAGGGGGTTGGGACTGGATGGGCATCGTGCTCCTTTGCAACCCAGGCCATTCTGTCAGTATGATTATGATTCTATGATCCCCATTTGGATCTGATCCAGGCACAGTGCTTAAAATCCTTCCTGCTGCAATGTGCCACTTAATGGCCTGGAGCAGACATGTAAACATCACATTTCCGTGGGCTGTGGACACTTCATGCAGTGCTGGATTTCTGCATCACCACGAGGAAGGTGCTCATTCCAGCTCCAGAGCTCCAGATTCCTGCTCCAGATGTTCTTGATCCCTCACCAACCTCCCTTTGCTTAGAGCAGGAGAGCTGCACGAAATAATGGGAGAAATGCAATTAGTGTTGTCTGTTTACACAGATAAAGTAAAATGATACATTTTAATAAATGACCTGGATCTGAATTGAATAAAGTGCAGCTGAAGCGTGGTGGCTGCTCTCCACCTGGAAGGAGGGACGGTGCGCGGCACCTGGAGCCATAGCGGGATGCGGATAGGCAGAGCCAATAAAGTAAGTTGGCTCAAACCCATTCTGTTTAACTCTCATTTCCATAAGTATTTAATTAATCTGCAAGAAAAAAAAAGAAAAAAAAAAAAAAAAGAAACTGCTGTGTTTCTTGTACTGACATGAGTTCTTCAGATCTGCAAATCAAATGGCAGCAACTGTATGTCAGGTTCAGGTGAAAGCAAATCTGCGCTGGCTCTGCCAAAGGAGAAAAACGACTTTCATAGGAGCAAGGTGACCTCTTAGTGCTCAGGTCTTCATGTATCTGCTGTGTGTGTGCAAATTCTGCAGGAGCTTTGAGTAACTCATTCCAATCTTTTATTGGATCATAGAATCACACAATCCCAGCATGGCCTGGGTTGCAAAGGCCCACAGCGCTCCTCCAGTCCCAACCCCCTGCTGTGTGCAGGTCGCCAACCAGCAGCCCAGGCTGCCCAGAACCACATCCAGCCTGGCCTTGAATGCCTGCAGGGATGGGGCATCCACAGCCTCCTTGGGCAACCTGTTCCAAATGGATGGGAAGAGCAGATGGGATCTGTCCAGTGTTCCCCATGTTACTTTCTCCTTTGTTTATTATTGCAAGGATTTATATTTCTGTTTTGGAAATGTTAGCAACACGTTGCTAATCCTAAATTTTCACTGTTCAGCAGAATTTGGTGTAGATGGAGCATGAATTACTGTGTAGGGCTGCTTTCAGCACCTGGGAGAGGTTGCCTTCAAAAGTCAGCTCCGCCATGGAAGGTGCTCCCCTTGTTCAGCTTCTTTGGGATGGTGGAAAAATTGATTTATGGCTTCTCTATGTCTTGAGCTTGTTCCACTAGCAGTTGAGGTCAGCTTTGAGGTCTTCCTCAAACTCCTATGCAGCCCATTGGTCTCCTCATTGTGCAGATTAGGCAGGCGAATAGGTTAAGCAGTCACCACGTTCAAGGGCAGATGTATTTTGAAGCAGGCTGAGTTGATTACTTTTATTCATGGTACCCAAATAGGTGCAGGGTAGTGTATCACAGTGTTTGGCTGGGGCTGGTGGAGGCACTGGTGTTGCTTTGGAAGCAAACACACACCACTGTGAAACCAAACAAGAGGTAAAGGCTTGGCTGTTGGCTGTGACAGGAGGTGCTGGACTCCACGCAAGCTACAGTCTTTCCCAGCACTGCGGTAATGAAGATAAAAGTTGAAATAAGCAGCCAAACTTTTCAATTTGGGGCCAAAGTCCAAATGTGCCCAGTTTTTGACATTGGTAGTTTTTGTTTGGTGGAGGATTGTTTTGTTTCTAGGGGTATGGAAGCTAGGCTCGCAGATGATGCTTGATTCATTTTGGTTTTGTTGGGGCTTGTTTCCTTTGCACTTTGGTATGGATTTCTGGTGCGTGCTCTGGAGGGATTTTGCATCTTGGTTTCTTTGGTGGTCCTAAAGGCAGCACAAAATTAATGCAGCACTTAAAGAGAACGTTATTAAAACTTTATTCAGAGGTGAGCAGCAAAGGCAGAGAAAATGCATATATATTAAATACATATGAATATATATACATATATATTCATGTTTTTTTCAAGAAGATGGAATTCTAAAAACAGCTCTGGTTTTACCAGTCCAGACACAAACTTGCTTTTGTTGTGTCACTCTGAAATGAGAGGAGGTTTACCCCATAAAGATTTTTACTTTGTGAATGTAATTTGGTTGTGATTTTTTATTTCCTTTCTCTCTTCACCACACACTATTCTCCTTCACAGAGTTTAGTGTCACCCTGTTGGATCTGTGGGCGATCATGAACCCACACGAATTTTAGGAAAAATCACATCTGATCTATGCACGACGAAGGCATTCCTGAATCCGCAAGTGTCTTTTATTTATTTCTCTTTCAAAGTGCAATAAAATGTTGCTCGAGAAGGAGAGGTCTCGTAGTGCTGGGAGTAAGCCCTGCTGTACACACTGAGGGCAGCAGTGGCTATTTTGATAGTGCTGTGATGCTGAAAGGAGGTGTCAGCATTGGGCACTGCGGAACCACCTCACCGCTGCCTGAAGTCGCATCTGAAGTTTTCTTTGCACTTGATTGCACATGAGTTCTGCTCTTGGCTGCCGGATCCTCCCTCCAGACTCCCAAAGGTGAGTGCATTGTGCCCTCTGGGGGCTCTCTACTGCTTTAGCTTAAAGGTTTGGGGGTTTTTTGGTTTTTTTTTTTTGTTGTTGTTTTTTTTGGGTTTGTTTTTTTTTTTGTCCTTCCTTCCTTCCTTCCTTTCTTTCTTTCTTTCTTTCTTTCTTTCTCTCTTTCTTTCTTTCTTTCTTTCTTTCTTTCTTTCTTTCTTTCTTTCTTTCTTTCTTTCTTTCTTTCTTTCTTTCTTTCTTTCTTTCCTTCTTTCCTTCTTTCCTTCTTTCCTTCTTTCCTTCTTCCTTTCTTCCTTTCTTCCTTTCTTTCTCTCTTTCTCTCTTTCTCTCTTTCTCTCTTTC